AACTTCCAGAATTTTGGGAGTTGAAGTCCACCCGTCTTAAAGTTGCCAAGGTTGAGGAACCCTGGCCTAAACCATTTAGACCTGTCCAAGTAGTGCTTTCCTTTGTTAGACATATTACATTTTGTCTAACAGATGGAATGCACAAAACACTACAAAAATGACAAAAAAATGAATATAATTTTCTCATAGGCACAGTCCACCCATAGCACATTAATTGAGCTCTACCAATATTTAATGCTCTTGCTGGTCTAACGTGTGGAATTTGGACTTACATAATATTCCTGGAGGCTTTTTTTAATCAGTATAAAAACAACAAAGATAATTGAGAGTATAATTAAATGAGAGGTGATGAAGCTGAAGTCTGCTTCAGACTTAGCTACCTAAAACTGGAAATCCAGAGGAGTGGCATAAAAGTAGTCTGTCTTCATGACCTCAGGCACATCATAGCCTAACCTAAGTTTCCCGTCAATTTTTAGCTGCCAGTCAGAAAAAGTAGAAAAGAATCCATTGCTTAAAAGGACAAGCAGTGTTAGGCTGAATCTTCATGAGAAGATGTCCAATGTCCATAATATACTATATAACCAGACTGTGCATGCAGTTCAGTAGAGAATTATTAACAATAATAATTCACCAAATAATAAAAGAATGATAGGAAGGCATGTTCAGTGACTAACAGTGAGAGCAATTCAGGATAGAACCAGTTACCTAGAGAGATAGTGGGCTTCCCTTCACTTCATGTGAAGTAGAGGCTGGACAGCCATCTGTTGAAGATACTTTAGTTTGGACTGATGACCCTGTTCAACTCTGTAATTCTATGATTTTCTATGTTTGCATACTGCTTAGCAATTTTTGTAATGAAGGCTGCTACTGCTGCTGCTGTTGTTATTATTCCTGTGTTTCTATAAGTTCCCCTTCCCACCCATGCTGTAGAAGTAATGTTAGTTTTGTTACTTACCACTACCAACTTAACCATTGTCAGCTCTTTGCACATAAAATAAGCAAATCAAACATATACTTTAACAAAAAAAGAATTATGGAATTCTACTGTTTATAGGAAAAGAGAAACTCAGAAACTCAGAACATGATGAAATAATGCTTCTGTTTACCAGATATTACTGAAAGATTACTGAAGCATACATTTTGTAATAGAAAAGCAACTCAAACTGCTATGAGATGTCAGACCTTTAGTCTGACATGAATCCATACTAAAAGAGCCGGACCACCCAGCTGGATAGACTTTTAATATAGGATAATTTCAGGATTCAATTCTAAAGCCCCCAACATGAAAAAATCAATAAGATATTTAATACATTTGAAAATTGGAACATGTACTAACATGTTATTGAAAATATAATTAAAGTACTAAAATTGCAGCAAGAAAATATACATTAGCCACATCCATTAGCACGTATGATGAGTTATTACACAGCCACTTGGGCCTTAATGAAAGTCTTGTACAAATATAAGTTTCATGCAAATCTGAAATTGTTACTCACTAGCTCTTTTCTTAAAAATATTAAGTTTTAAAAGAATAATCATCTTCAGAAATGCAACCAAGGGTCATTCAATAGCAAATGTTTATTTTATTTAAAAGCAAAGGATATTAATGCAGAAATAAGACCAGTCAGAGTCCCCAGTGCTGCAGAACCAAAGAACATCTTCAGGAAGTAAGCCAGCGCTTGTAAAAAGGTTTGCCATCCACTTACATCAGACGTATGTTCTCTTGTCAAACCTTCCGCTGTACTGAGAATAAAAACAAAACAAGGACAACCAAGGAGGTTACATATTAGAATGTTAGGTCTGGGATTACAGAATCCAGAATCTCTACATGTTTGTTGTTGTTGAAATTGCTCTTAAAATGCTTTCACTGTGATATGACTAGGGGAATGACAAAAGACATTCATTCAAGTCCTGATACAATATTTTTCAAAGAGAAACACAGCTGTGCTAAAAATCTGGAAGCCTAGACTTGTTTTTGTATTGTTGTTAACAGTGGTACAAAATAAGCCAGGAGGAAACCTACTACAGCAAAAGAAACAAAATGCTTCTAATAGATCTTTCATAGAAAAAGTACAAGGGGAAGAAGACGCAATGTTAGAGAATCAAAAATAAGGTGCTTGCTCTTCTGATCCTCAAAGCAAATGGGAATATGGGAGGAAAAAATGGCTTATGTTCTGAGGGAGGGAGGGAGGGGGCAGAAAGTACATCAGGATCCTAATGTGAATAAAGTTGGGAGGAGTTAGATCCTTGACATATAAGTTGAGAATCAGATCACATTAATATGTATACATGGAAGCCATCTATATAAAGCTTTTAAAAATAAATAAATAAAATGATATCCTTATGCATAGCATCCAGTTAATCAATGAAACTTATTTCCAGCTACATGAGTTTCAAACCAACTATCCATTTTGCCCAACAGATCATATTGATTTATTAAAATAAGAACTTTGTAAAGTTTTACAAAATAACTCCATTTCTGGCCTCAAACCCAGAAACTAATACTGCAACCAATATAAACCATGAAAGGAGACTGAACTGACACACCAGTTTCCCATATGAATTAGAATTTTTAAAAAAAATTCCTAAAGACTTCACAATGCTAAACAGTGACCGCAACACAAATTCCTGGCCTTGTGTGTAATTATGTATAGTTTATACTTCTGTGGATCTTAAGAGGAAGAATAATTGGGGCTGCTTCACGTAAGAGTGGGTGGCAAGCATCAGTTTGTCAATACATGCAATTAAGGAGGAGTGGCAGTTAAAAATTATACTAACCCAAAGAGCATAAGTGCATATTATGCACATTTCTTGCATTAAAATAAGTAGTGTTTAAAGTACCACTTTAATAGATTTTTGTCTAAATGAGCATTAATTTCAAACAGTAGATTTTTTCCTCCATGTACATGAATATACTTACTTTGTCAGGACAATTGAGACTGCATCATTGAGAATACTTTCTCCAAAGACCAGCATGTTAAGTACAGGGTCCACATTAAGAGCATTAAAGATAGCAATAGTAGCTACTGGATCAACAGCAGAGATCAAGGAACCAAATGCAAAACTGTTAGAAATAAAATAAATATATTAACATAATTTCTGAATTATTAAATGCTATTGGGCTTTGAGGCCTACTCAGCAAGCCTGGAATGGATCCATGTATTTAAATCACCATTATCCTGGAATGCATTAATGGATTTTCTCGTTTTAACAGAAGATAAATCTCATCCCATGTAGGCTAACAATTACCAATAAGAAAGATAAAAATAATATACTTTTTCAAATATTTATAAGCATTTTTATGTTAAATGGTAGGTATCTCATCCATTATACTACAATTAATCTGAAATTTTAATTTAGCATTTAATTCCCTGTTTGTTTTGAATTTCTTATAAACAGTCTTAACAGTTTGCACTTTAGTTTTTTTCCAATTTAATAGGACATCCCAAACTCCATCTGAGAATTTTATTGTAGCATCTATCCCTTCTTTTTAAACATAACATTTTAACAAATAATACACCACATAATTAATACATACTACTGTGGTATCTTTCCAAGCATTATTGTTAATTCCTCAGATCCTACCCCACTCTTATCCCACTTAAAATATAGATGCTTGCCCTCCTCTAGTCATCCTTCACCTATTTTCCAGGATTTTTCAAAAATAATACATAAAGATTTAGCTAAACTGTGGGATGCAAGTCATCTGGTCTTAGATATTAAAATTCAGCAGAGATTACCTCTTCACTACAGTTAAAAGGCTGGAGGCACCTTGCTATGCCATGTTAATTTCCCTCATATTCCATATGCACTCCGATTCATATTTCCACCTACCTACCGGAACCAGAGTTAAGCATTATATCATCACTGAAATTAACAGTGGCCACAAGTATAGTTTCCAGTGTCCTGCCTAACTAGTCTGGTCAGGAATCAAGAACCTAATAGGTAAAAGCAGTCATTGTGCTCATTGCAGCAGCCTGAAGATTCTCATAAACACACAAAGATTATATAGATTTTTTCAAAACTTACCTGTCGGTCATATTCAGTTTATAAATTAGATCAGCCTAGAAAAATTGACAAAAACAGAAACATCTTTTAAAAGTTAATGATTACTCTCTACTTCTCTTTTCCGCCTATTAATGAACTGGTGTGTTGGCTCAGGGATCACAAAGTGAGTTTGCTGGTTGGAGATTACAGCTGGATTCTGTATTTTCAAAAATGAGGAACCTACCAGATTTGCTTCCCATGAAGATTTCTTGGAAATTAAATCTTCCATGCTCACAAAGGTATTGTCTTGATCTGGATTTTTGCATATTTCAAGTAAAACTGTCTTTCCATCCCCCTCAAGAGCCTGGCATTTGATAAAGCTGTGATGAGCATTCCTATGACCTAACTAATATGGTATGCTGTCACCAAAAAGGACTGAGTTTCTCATAAAATGCTGAAGACACTCATGTGTTCAGCACGAGATGGAAGAAAACTTAGGAGTTATTCAATTTATAGTTCAGTGAAGCAAGGATCTGCTCACTGCAGCAATGTCATTTTTATTAAGATCAGATGTGAAATTAAAGACTACTAATCAATGTCATTTATGCTCAGACTAACAAACAGTGCTTTGAGTACATCATATAATATACAGTAAGCATCACGATGCTTTACATCAATGTCATAGGCATAATTCTTTTATGTAAAATAGAAAGAAATGTTACATTGGAAAATCTATGGGAGAAAAATACTAATAGATGCCCAGAGAATGAGGTGGTCTACAGAAGCTCTTTCTGAAATGAAGAGGAAGACCAAATAAACAGCCAAACTCTGCAGACTAGAAGAAATGGGGGGAAATGCCAAGGGTGAGTGACATCTGAGTTCACTCAGAGCTTTATTGGAGAAAATACAAAACATCATTCATTCTAAAGAAAAGGATGGAGGAACAAAGTTTGGTGGGGAAGTTCAAGCCTTTTGGCTTATGCTATTTTCCTATACTAAAACTCCTTTCTCTGAAGTTATTAGCCATATTAGGGAATATGTGTAGGTAAGTGGAACATACAGTGGGGCAAAAAAGTATTTAGTCAGCCACCAATTGTGC